ACATTAAAGTCAGGTGCTTAGGGCAACAAGATATCTCTTAGTGTGTAAAATGGTTAACATGTTATCCCGCTTTGCCTTCGGACCAATGGGAGCTGTGTAAAAAGGCAATTAACTTTAAAGAATGCCTGACAGAAGATTTTTAGTTTGTTGGCATCTTGCTCTGAAATAATACGCATTATATTATGTACTTATATATTCATTTTAATGGAAAATTCATCATGCACAGCTTGTTGCTTGCGTGGTTAGACAATATTTATATTAAACATTAATAAATATGTGCATATTTTATAAAATTAGTCCGCCTTTCCGACGTAATTACTTTTTCCGAAAATCTACCACATCCTGTAGACTACTCCAGATATTTCCTGTCATGGCAATGAGTCTTTTTATTCAATTATATGACGCCTTATCGTTGCCGCTGACCTGTATACGACTCCAGCTTGGAGAGTTTAAAAACATCTGGAACATGTTCTCACATCTGCTCCCCAATCACTACAAAAGTCAGCCCTTTCTTAAGTCTCAGCGTCGAACCCTTTCCTCTTTTCTTATTGGCATCCCTTCGCCCATAGATACGCAGCCTATCATGCAGTAGTCTACCTGGACTGACGTTTATGACCTTTTATCAACCAGATTTCTAGCAGACTCACAGACCATTAACTGTCGACTGGTCACCATAATGATTGGGTTCCTATACCACAGGTCATAATTTCATTATGTGTATTTTGGTGTCCAACAGCAACCGCGTGCTTCAAATTCAATACGCGGATGGCTACAACAAAATGGGCACCGTCCGATGGGAAGTGGCGCTCTGTCTAGCAGCAGTCTTCACCATCGTCTACTTTGCTCTCTGGAAGGGAGTCAAAAGCAGTGGAAAGGTACGTCGGATCTAACACTTATAACGCCAACAGTAAAAGTTACAAGTCCGAGGAAGTAGCCCAAGTAAAGCCTAAGTCATCGGTTCCTCAGTATGTAACGTATAGTAAATACCACGGCATCAGAAAAAGGTTTCAATGAGTCACTGTCAATGGTCTGGTTTTAAAGATAAGTAACATGAAATTAATAATGTTTTGAGGGGTGGGAACGGGAACAACATGTGCTCATCATTACGACTTGAC